GTTGGTGGATTCGTCTCGGTGGCTACCGCGGCCCTGGCATGTGGGAGGGCATCCTCAACTAAAAAAACAAAAAAAAACAGGTTGGTTTGTCTCTAATGTCATGGACTTGCCAGCCGTTTTTTTCTTGGTTCGCACACCACAACTTGATACACCTGGTGTACAATGTCTTTGCTTTTTTTTTTGTACCGAACGAACTCGGGCAGGAATGGAAAGGAGCATATGATACCCCCTCCTTGACAAAGTCCGACCCAGCTCATCGACGACTTGCATGGCGTCAGAGGCAGGACAAAACGCGGTAATTATGCATCTTCAGGAGCCGGGAACATGGCAGGCGGCGGTGTGGTGGTTTCAGCATGCATGTCGCTCTCGCTTCTGTACGATCACAAGGGGAGAAGAAAGAGGGAGTAATTCTTGTTTTTCGTTTTTGTTTCTCGTTGGTTTTACGGTCACGGAGCTACGGTGGTGGAGGCAAATGAAATGAAGCTATGTACAGTGCTGCGAGACGAAATTCTTCGAACGGCATGAAGCTGGAGAAGGGACAGCGAGTCGGCCCTGGAGGTTCTTTTCCCGAAACGGCGGACGCTCCAGGGCAAGCGACCTGCGTGTTACGCATGACACGCCTGAGGCCGTTGAAAAGCGACAATTGGCAGAGGCAACTCTGGCAATCATCAAACAGCAAAAACGCAATGATGCTGTGCGGACCTAGGGAAAGACAAAACACTGATAACGAGCAGAGAGATAACAGCCATGACGCGGCTGCATTTGTGCACGAGCGATGAAGCTATAGTCGAGAGATGTATAGCTAGCCTGGGCAACCAATTCACACGCACGACGCAGACCACCTGCGCTATCCACACCGAAATCTGAGATGAGATGATGACTTCAAGTGCTGCTTTCTGCAACATGATGCTTTGACGAGTACCAGATGAGGGCCTGGCCATATCACGACATATCACGGTCTCGCGAGTTTGGCATAAGTTGGGTATGAGGGGCTTGGACCAGCTATCGTACTTCCTCAGCCCCTTTCCTGTGTTCGGCATGGTGCCTTGTCCTTGTGACTCACACCGATATAATAGGCATGACGCATCCAATAGCACTTCACCTCACTCCTCATAGTGTGGCGTCTCGTATAACACGGGCCTTGACAGTTGCTTCGATTCGGAGCTATCGATTGTGCGCGTCTGCGAAGCGCTTCACCAGTGAAGCGCGTCACCCACAGGCTCGAGACGTGCTGGCCACGGGGTCGATATCACCCGCAGACGAGAGGATGCGTGAATCGAGAACTGTACCTTTCTGTCCCCTCAATTTCTTCCGACTCCGTCTTGCACCACTCGGCTCGGAGGAGGCCTGGAGCTGACTGGATGGTTGACTTGGCGCAGGCTTCCAATTCGCACCTGACCGTTCACAGTTTGTCGAGACGGCAGTTTGTCAAGACGGGAAGTCAGACAGGAGACTTTGGATGGCTGACTGAATGCTACAGGGAGTGGAAAATGCTGCATTGCGCACACGTCGAGGGTACTGACTGAGAACTAAGCGCAGAATTATCGAGGCTGTCGATTTGGTCACTCATAGCACCCATCGTGACCACTCACGGCATCAGAGCATCGTCAGCCACCACGTGGGGAAGCGTTTGCCATCGAAGAACCCGAAGCGGAAACCTTTGACGGGCATCCCTGCCTATTCGATAACATTCCAACAGGCAATGTCGGTTCAGCCTCGCTTGGCTCATCTTCCTTGACAAATGACACACCGTGTCGTGACACGTTCCCACACCTTGCTCTGTTATTCGGTCAGGGAGTAGAATTGAACTTCTGCGATCATGGTCCTCGCTGGGATGGTCACGCAGATGGGGAACCCGCCATAGTCTGGATCCTCGTTGGGCATCAGTGCCATTTGTCCGCTCCTCGTCTCATCTCCGTTAAGCACCCGCGCCGTCCTGAGCTGACCCGTCGCCTCGTTGACAACCTTCTTCTCCTCAAATCGCAAGATTCCGGTGAATACGCTGTCCTCGGCCACAGCCTTGGCCGACACCTGGAAACCCCAGCCAATGAGCAGAAACTTGCCACCGCCGCGATGAATGACCATGCCGGCGCCGGGGCCAGGTCTGCCGAAGACGAAGGCCCGTTCAATAGTGATGTGGAATCCGCCCCATGTGCGGCGTACAAGGGGGCGCGTGTCTTTTGCAGTTGGGACTGAGGGGACCTCGTCGAAGAAAAAGCCAACCGAGGTGTCCCTTCGACGCTGAGCGTCAAGCACAATGACCGAAGTCGACTTGAGGAGGCCAAAATGCTTGGTGAAGGGGTTCGTGCCAGGCTCGAGCGTGTCGATGCCAAAAGGCGAAACACCCATGGCAGCGAAAGTACCGTAGGCGGCCCAGATACGGCGCGCCCCGTAGTCGTCTCGCCGCTGCTCAGGTATGAAGAGGGGCTGGTTTCGGTGGCGATACTTTTCGCACGAGCTTGCGTAGTCGGTGAGGTAGACGTCGGGTGCAATGAAGTCGAGGCGAGGCGCAAACTTGATCCAAACGTCCAACACGTTGGAGCACGCACCGCCTGATGGATAGTCGCCGGGGGAACCGCCTCCACCAACGACGATGGGAAAATCGTTGTCCGAATCCTCGCCGGCATAGTTCAGCCACACGTTTGTGTATAGGGGTATGTCATACTCGGCCTTGCCGGCCGCTGCCACGTCGTTGAGATACTTGGCGTAGTGGTATGCCATGAAGAGCTCATCCGTACGTGGGCTGGTGCCAAAGATGGTTTCCCAGTTGCCGTCTTCCGGCACTGATTCGGGGTCAAAGTGGCTCAGGTTTGTCTTCTTCATGTCTGCGTGCAGGTTGTCCCAGTCCGAAACGAGATGTTGGACAAGATCCTGGGGAACAGCCTTGCTGAAGGCCTCGTTGGCGACGTCAGATCCGTCCCTCGAGTCGCCGAGCAGGCCTGTCTCGTTCTCGACCTGGACCATGACGACGGTCGAGTGGGCCTCATCAAACGCTTTCAAGTGAGACATCAACGTCCCGAAGGCCCTGGCGTCCGCTTGGCGCACTTCGGGGTGGAAGATGGAAACGACATCAGCTGTGGCATAGGCGTCCACCGGCCTTCCTCAGCTTGGCGCGGGGGAAGCGCCTTGCATTCGTCTTGACCCATCCGGGGGTGTATGTGGAAGAGGGCCTTCGGGCACGTGGTGTAAGTAGCACTCTCTGCAAGCGAAACAAGGACCGGCTACGCACCGTTTTTGAACGAACCAAACCACAGCAGGATCAAATGCAGACCGTGCTTGCGGGCACCTTCGATCACTCTGTCCAGCTCCGCAAAGTCAAAACGGTCCTCTTCGGGCTCGATATCTTCCCATGCCACGCAGCCCAGCAGCGTATTGACGTTCGTGTCAACCATCTGCTGCCAGACAGTGTTCATGTACTCGGCGGAGGTGAGCGAAGAATTTTGCAGCTCGCCCCCCCGTATGAGAAAGGGCTTTCCCTTGACGATGAGCTGCTTCGACCATTCCGTATCGACCAGATGCGGTGTCTGCAGGTTGTTGGTAGCCATGTTGGCGATGTGGTGGAAATCTGGGGCCCAGGCGGAGGTTGCTGGATATTCGCGAGAGCGACCTGCCAACGACTAGTTACGGACCTCGGAAACAACTGCAACGAGAGCCCTCGAGCTATATGAACAAAAAAGGGCCGTCTGACGTCCGAACGGACACACGGAGGCTCGGACGCTTGTGGTCGATCGGTGGTCACCCCGCGCGAGCTCGGGGCTCCATGCCGTGTCATTGGCTGGCACGCTGTTCTTCGCCAGGTCCGTCATCAACTGGACGTAGACCTGCGGACGGCGGCTGTCGAGCCCGTATTTGCAGCTCATGCGCTCCAATCACATGGTCTGCGTGCTTGCGTGTTCTGGCAACGCATGCTCAGCGAGCCGTGGCAGGCTGCAATACGCCTCGAACAGGCGAGTCGCAGATTGGACGTCGCGTGCTGCTGACATCTGGAACATGACGCTATAGTTGAAGGACAGCAACATGAGTGGAAAGCCCCACGAATGTGTAGTCGTCCTACAGAAGCGATGTCTTATGGTAGTGCTGTGAATCAGATTCTCAATGAGGACATAGTCTCTAGCTCGAGGTCTGTCTTTCCATACAGGGGTCGTGGCGCAGTGGTAGCGCGTCTGTTTTGCATTCAATCGAATTTACAGAAGGTCCCGTGTTCAATCCGCGGCGGCTCCACTTTTGCCATTTCTCGACAGCTTCGCAACAGGGCTTAAGCTGTAATGTCACTGCCCACTGTTCATTGCTTTTGCATATTCTGTTCTAACAATGGCTGAGTCGCCAACGCGAGCTAGAAGTGCAGTGCCATACTCTTTCGGTTCGCGTCGACTTGTCCTGGCATTGTCATCTAGCCGGTAACGCCGACCCGACAGGTCAACGGGGCGAGGGACCCGGAAATCAGTCTCCGTGCCCACCCACGCATCGGGCTTTCTCACCCATATCATAAACGCCATCACATCCCCTGGAAGCATCATGCCAGACCCTCATCTCGACATCACGGCCTCGCTCCCCGCTTGGAACCGTTTGAACAATGTCGAACTCATCGATGTCATCCCGAAGGAGATCCCCCAAAGCGGCTTCGGGTTCGTTGCCGACCGCGCTCTGAGCCGCGCCGAGGAGGCCCTGGACTCGCCAGCATTGGCAAGGATCCCACGTGGACTGGTCTTGTCCAAAGAAGCCGTCGACGATCACGCCAAGGTCGATGGACACTTCCGAGTCCTGCTGGACGCTGTGGGCCGCAAGGTGCGTTGCGCGAACCCCGGTCCCCGCGACTCGTCACTGGCTTTGGCAAACCGGCTGATACAGGGCTGCAGTCCACCAGAGGAGATGCTTGTCTGTTCCTCCTGGTACAGAAGGTCTTGGCCGCTCATCCGCAGTCCGGCGTCGTTTCAACACCATGGACAGAGTACGTCAAGTTCTTGCCCCGTGAAGTTCCCGTCCCGACCATGTGGTCGGAGCAGGAGCGGGACTTCCTTCAGGGGACGTCGTTAGAGGTAGGTGGTGAACGATTCCCTTTTCTCGCAGCCACTTGATCACGCACGACCTCGTCCTCCTTTCGCCCTGACCTGTCCAGCCGACCAAACATCCTCTGACCCGCTCCAGCTTGCCGTGAGCGCAAAAATCCAGGCTCTGACCAACGAGTTTGAGGCCCTACGAGAGAAATCGTCCGATCTCCCTTTCTGGAACGCCATCTTCTGGGATAAGAACAATGTCATCTTGGCCGATTGGTTCCTCGTCGATGCATGGTACCGCTCGCGCAGCCTGGAGTTGCCCGGCGTCGGCGTGTCCATGGTCCCGGTCCTCGACCTGGCGAACCACGCCCCCACGCCCAACGCCTACTACGAGGAGAGCGCGAGGCGCGAGGGCGACGTTGAGCTGCTGCTGCGGCCCGGCAGCACCCTCGCTGCGGGGGATGAGGTGACCATATCGTACGGCGCGGGGAAATCCGGGGCAGAGATGCTCTTCAGCTACGGCTTCATCGACCCCGCACGATCCACAGACACCGTCGCCTTACCGCTGGCGCCCCTGGAGGACGACCCTCTGAGCAAGGCAAAGGTCCACATCTTTGGCGGGCCGAGGACTGTCGAGCTCACCCGGACGAGCGGCGGTGCCGTGACGTGGAAGAGCCCGTTCGCGTGGCTCGCGTGTCTCAACGAAGAGGATGGCCTGGCGTTCGCGATCCTGCAGGACGTCGGAGGAGGTCGGGACCTAGGGGTCTTCTGGCAGGACAGCGATGTGACGGCGCGGGCAGACGATTGGGAGACACTTGTCCATGACCATCCGCAGTACAAGATCTTCAGACTACGCGTCGTGGCCGTCCTCGAGGACCGTGTGGCTTCGCAGCTCGAACGCATGCAGACGATGGAGCTTGACCCCCGCGACGCACCACCAGGCGAGTCACACAGCATTCACACTGGGTGTCTTGATGCCACCACAACTCTGAGGGAACAAGAGGCTAGTGTTTTGCAGGCGGCTGCGCGAGCCCTCGAAGTAGAGGTACGTCCTGTTGCTTCTTTTCCCTCCCCCGCATCTTCCCTGGCCGGCATCGGTTCCATTTGCCTTCAGCGTCCTGCTGCGCAAATACATACCGCTGCGATGGTCTTTTTCTCGTGTCAGACGTACCACTGTCTTTCTGATATTCATTCCCCCACTGTTCCTCGCACCGATCCTGTCAAAGTTCGTCCTGGCCTCTTTTGCCCGCCCTGTGACAAGAGGATCAGGATGAGAAAAGTTTGGTCGCAGTGATTGGACCGCCACAAGCTGACAGTACACAGAGAGGCGAGCTCCTCACTGACGATTCGGTACTGGCGTATCTCGGATCGATGGAGATTTCCCAAAACGAACAAGTGGAAGAAACGGCGTCCAATGACAGCGACGACTTCAGTTAATGGACGGAACGCCATGTGCACGGGACGATCACGGGCATACTCGCTTCGCCCCCCAGATAGAGGCTGAAATCTGGAGCGGCGAGGGCATTTGCGCCGTGGCTTCCGGAATGCCAACACCAGTCTGGGTTCTGGAGTGGCATGATGCGTCTCGGATAGGGTGGAAGCTTCACTGGCGGGATGGTGATGGGGACCGGGGTCCCCAGGCAGCCCTGCTTTCGTTCAATCGCACGGTATTCTGACTACTCCGAGATGACTCTCTGGCGGCGAGTCATGATGTACTGGATGACCGTCTCCTGGTGATGGAGATGCCTGAGATAGTTGCACAATACGTCTGTCTATTCGGTATCCTTTCACACCGAAATCCAAGCCGTCAAAACTATCAAGCTTCTTCACGCACAGCTTTCTGGTTTCTTCCGCGTGTGGCAATGACTCCTTGCTGACGTTTTTCGTAGATCATTGCTGGGGCGCCGCCTAGCTCCTTATTTGCCCAAAATTTGCCAAGGAGATCATGTTGCATCGCGTGTTCAGTTCGGGGAACGATGTGCGGGGAACCCTACTGACCTGAAGAGGCCCCTCTAGCACTTTGGCACTCTCACCGCACACAGTCACAACTTTTGGCGATCGTGCCCATTCCGGTCAGCAAGCATTGTAGGAAACGATTTTCGAGTAAAGTCCTCAGACGCATTGTTGCACCATGTTGCAAATCAATGAAGCCAGAGTAATATTCGAAGAACAGTAGAAAGGCGTGACCAAGCTGTTCTCGGGCAGCAGCTGAGATTCCACCTCTTCGGGTTCCGTGGAAGATTGGCTTCTGTGGCGCACGGGGGGGATCAAATCCGCCTCGAACATGGTGGCAGCCCATGCTCTTAGCGCCAGCCTCGGAAGATTCGTTTGGAAGCATCGTTGCACCTCGATACTTGACGTCTTCAGAATGAATGACCAGAACGGTTTGATAATGATGATGATGAGGGAGCCAGACTGTCGGGATCCTGGGCGGATCACAGAGACGAATGTCGTGGGACGAATGCCCAGCGCTTATGTCATTGTGATGACAGCGGCAACAGGTAGCACGACAACGGCTGTCGCGCGAGCTGTACGTCGGGGGCCAGCATCGGGATATGCCGTCGTCACGGTACAGGCCAAGCACAGAGCGTACCGCAATGCGCGTGAAGGCGACCACGACAGGACCGCACAAATGCGTCGGCCAAGGCGAAAGGTGAGAGACCGTGGAGCAGGGATCGGCCGACGCGGCGAGCGATCTGAACCTTTTCGAATGCACCACTACACCAACCAACACTGCCCCAAGGCTCCGGTCTCTGGGCGTGCCGGCTGCTGGCTGTCGTTGATGAAACCGCAGGATGATCCTCGTCAGACCTTCACAGCCAAGCTGGGGAAAACATGGGGAACCGGGGCCTTGACGAAGCGAGCAGGATTATCGAGAAAGAGGCCTAGGGCAGTTTGGGACTTTTCCACCACCGGCACCTCCAGAGACGGTGGGGCCATTTGTGCCTTGCCGTCGACCCACTGCTTGAGGCTGGAGCGACCCTTTTCCTCACCCAAGCTCGGCAGATATGCTTCATTTGGTGATCAAGTGTCAACGTGATGACAGCCGAATTTCTTGGGGCCTTTCGTTCGCATCCCGGCGGGGCATGGGCAGCAGCGGGAAAGTCGGCAGGACGGCACGATCTTTGGCCAGGTTCCAGGGTCGTCGAATAGGTGGTTTGGAATTTGTGTTGGGGGGATTGTGTTGGTGCAGGTATCAAAAAAAGTAGCTCGCTACACACTTGTTCTGCAGACGGGAAGGGGAAAGCACCTCCCTGGCCTACCTGCCTTGCCTAGATACCTTGTACTTGCTTTCGTATTGCTGCAGGGAAGGCACAACTAGGAGACTCGTGAGGGCGCGTTCCGTGGTTGCGTGTAACCACAAGTAGAGGTGACTGGCCAGTGGTCCCTTGTTGGCCCTATTCGCCTCCCCCCGGTCTGCACTTGGGAGAAGCACACCACCTCGGTGGGGCATCAGCGACGAAGCAGGGGTATCGAGAGCCAATGGCACCCTGATGATTGGCAGCAGCAGAAGGGGCTACCCTCCCCGCGCTCTCCTCCTTCTTGCCCCAGATTCCGCTCCTCTGGTCTGGTCACCCCTCTTTTTCGTGCCTCACCTTCTAGCCCGGGAAAGTCCCTGGGGAGCCCCCCTCCCCTGCCCATGCTAACCTACCTACCTACTTACAGTACTGTTGTGTTGTTTTTTTTTTTTTTTCCCTTTGAGTCGCGGCACCAGGGCTAGCTCCAGCGTCCGCTGCAGGGCCGCTGAGTCGCCCACCCCCCGGTTTCGGGTCCCAGGCACTGTCCTCCCCTAAACTCCACCCCAGCCCACTCACCGCACGCTGGTCTTCTTCACGCCTTGTCTTGTCGACATCATCCACCTCCTCTCTCACACTTTCCCCTCAACACATTACCCCCCCCCCCCCTTCCTCACCCTTTCCCTCACGACTGAAAATCTCCACTCCGCTGTAATATTCCGCTGGACGACACAATCTTGAAACAAAAAGTACTGAACTGAGCCGCGAACACGATCGCCACTTGTGGTACAGGTTGACTCGAACCGACTAGAGAGACGACACGCACGCACCTGGTCCGCAACACCCGCGCATTGGACAGACAGCTCACGCCCCGATACGCCTTTCACGCGACACGAATTCTTGGTTCTGGACGCCGCCCACGCTCCGACTAGTTGGGCTGGGAAACTCCGACACTCCGGTCAGAGGCACAAAGCCAGCCTTACGACAGTTTTAGACTCCAGAAACCCCATCAATCACGACCAATAATTGAACGAGCGCCCTCCCACGAGGAACAACCGCCGCGATGCCCGGCATTCTACCCATGAAAGTCATCAAAGTCGGCACAAGTGCCCAGAGCCGTATAGCGCAAGCTTGCGACCGTTGCAGAAGCAAAAAGATTCGATGCGATGGCGTTCGCCCGACCTGTTCTCAATGCGCCAATGTCGGCTTTGAGTGTCGCACGAGCGATAAGCTCAGTCGTCGTGCGTTCCCTAGAGGCTACACTGAATCCCTCGAGGAACGAGTGCGACAGCTGGAGAACGAGGTCAGGGAATTGAAGGACCTGTTGGACGAGAAGGATGAGAAGATCGACTTGTTGTCGAGGATGCATGGCAACCGTCGCCCCTCCATTGGCCCGACAGTCTCCTCTTCGCCATGTGAATCGCGCAAAGAGTCAACACCACCTGTTAAGGAAGATACATTCAAGGTGCAGGCGTCACCCTTACTCCTTGGCGTCGAAAACTCGGATTCGTACTTCATGGGCCCCTCCAGTGGCCGAGGCTTCATAGGTGAGACCCGTACCCGTCTTTCTTCTGCCCCTCGTGGTTCATCTTGTCTCTGAAACTTACACCCGTTAGAATGTCTCAAACGCAAAATCCAGGAGAGCGGGAAGTCATGTCCAGATTTCAACCCCGAGGCATTCCTGCACATGCAAGGCTGTCCGCCGCTGGTGCCTGACCCCGTGAGCTCGAGGCTGAGAGTGCCCCCGAGACTTTTCTCTGACCGCTGCGTCAATGTCTACTTCCAAGAATGGGCACCTCTCTTCCCCGTGCTGCACAAGCCGACCTTTTTGCGTGTATACGAGGAGTTCGTCGCAGACCCTGAGAAGGTCAAGAATAATCACAAGATTGCACAGCTTCATCTAGTCTTTGCCATTGCGGCCCTTTCTGGCGAGAATCTAGACCTAGATCAGATCGCCTCTTGTGAGCAGCAATGGCAAGGTGCGGTCGACACAGTTCTCATGGAGAACTCCATGGCCACTCTGCAATGTCTCGTACTGGCACTCATCTACTGCACCGTACGGGCGGACTATAAACGTCTACAGCACTACAAAGGCATTGCCGTGGGCCTGTCACACCGCCTGGGCCTGCATCAGAGCCAGAAGCGATTCTCTTTTGGTGCCCTGACTATTGAGACCCGCAAGAAGGTGTTCTGGACCTTGTACACTCTAGACTGGTAAGACCCGACACTTCCCGCTGCCTCGTTGCTTTTCGACTGACACGCGCAGTTTCTCTGGCGCCATTCTCGGTTTGCCAAAGCTTTTGAAAGAGGAAGACATTCACGTCGAGTACCCGTCTGACACGGACGACGAGTACGTTACTGAAAAGGGCTTCCAACCCACTCTTCCTGGAGAGTATACCAAGATTTCGAGCGCTTTGGCTCTCTTCCGGTGCTCCCGAATTCTGGGCAAGGTTCTGGAGAAGAATTACCCGGCAGCTACCACACATGAACTGTCTCTACAACAAATGTCTGCTATGGAGGCTGAGCTCGACGAGTGGTGCTCTTCTCTGCCAACACATCTTAAGTTGACGTTTGCGCAAGATAAGCCCTCGACAGAGATCACGGGCAGCAGGTCGCCCCTTTTGTCGCTCGCCTTCCACTATACTCGAATTTTGATCTACCGCCCTGCCATCGGCTCTTCGCTGGGTCAGAAGGCAGCGCCTGCACTCATCTCCACCGCCAAATCAAGCAAGCATATCATCCAGATCTTGCAGCTTTTGGAAGAACGAGGAATGTCTTTCTCCTTCTGCCTCAACAAAACGGACACGCTCATCCTCAGCGGCATGCATCTATTGTATCAGAGCGTAGGTCTCAAGAAGGAGAGCAAGCTTATGAAGGACGTCGAGAAAATGGTGAACGCCGTCATCAAGATTGTTGCGCAGGCCAAGGCACCTGGCTGGTATGACTTTAAGCGTGTCGCTGGCATGCTCGTCCAGGTCGATGAGACGGCTATGCCCAGCACTCCACAGCCGAATCCAGATGCTGCGCGCGCTTCGACAACGCAACGTGGATCGCCACCGGTTACTGCCTCGAAGAAGAAGCCTTCTTGCTCCCAATCCAAGCCAACAAGTGTCAGCATTTCGTCGGCGGTTGAAGCAGACCGTCAACGTCATCACGAGAGGATGCGCCGCCTTACGGCACCCAACCTGCAACGCCCTGACCTCTACCGCTCACAGTCTCGCTCATCATTCGAAAGCTTGCAAAATGAGAATGGAATCCGACGCGATCAACGCCATTCCATGTCACAAGAAATTGGAGTTCACACAAAACGCCAGAATCTTGACTTCCTTGCACTAGGCGCGAATTCGGACGGTTCTTCGCCATCGTCGCCTACACGTGCTCGGCAGCAACAGCAGCAGCAGCAACAGCAGCAGCAACAACAGCAGCAGCAAGTAGCTTTGCCTCGTGACCAGCAACAATGGCCTCAACAGGTACCACACAAAGCCTCAAGTGTTTCTGCATCTGAGTGGGAGGCACTCTTAGGCTCCATGGATGGCGGCCTCAACAACGTTTACGATGCCATCTACGGTGGACCCGGCCTGACTATCAATGAATCTACGCCCAGTTCGACAAATATCAGTGGCTGGTCACCAGATTCGTGGGACCTAACGAATTTCAATCTGGGAGACTTTGGAACATCCGGCGCGCCTGCTCCTAGCACGCTCAGCGTGAGCGAGGAGAGCCTAAGTTCCGGAGAAGACCTCTCGGCGCCGAGTGAGCTGAACTTCAACCTTGACAATATTGAGTACCGGAGTGCTCTGCTTGCTGGGTACACGAACAGCGATGGTTTCATCGTTGATCCTCTGGAAAGCAGTTATGCTGTTTAATCATGGGTGGTTTCAAGTTGTGGCACTCCCTTTATACTCGGTTCTTTTTGTTATGACTTTGATCAAACTGTCGGTTATGATTCCCCTCCCCCCGGTTGGATTCTCCTTTAGGCACGGCGACGGCTAGGAAACATGTCGGTAGGTACCGCGTCGCAACGGACGTATTATGTATGAATTTGATTTTCCAATGTCAATTTTCTTTTGCACCATGAACCTTGACAGCTGCTTGTGATGATGTATGATGAGACTGAAAACCCAAGTTTGAGATGCCTCATCATACTCGTTGCGGAAGGTGACTTTCTGCACGTACATCATCATCAGACTTGCCCCAGATCGCGCTCACCGCAATCGGCATGACAGCGTGGACAGCAGACTTGGGTATCATTTCAACGTCTACGCTGACCAATTACAGTGACGTTATGTCTCGTCCATCATGACCATTCCTCCGTGAAATCGCGCCCTCCTCCCTCTCTCTCTCTCTCTTTCTTCAACGACACACACCTTTGAACGACGTCTTGGACGGCACCTGGCTGACGCCACATCATACAGTGGTAGGAGGCACCCTGAAGCGCCTTTGTCCGAGTTTGGCGCAGATGTCTGATGTGCCCGGGTCTTGCGCTGGATTTGGTGATTCTCACGAGCGGCACATGCGTCTCTGAGGATACGTCTCCCGTCGGGCGCGTCCTGGAGCCCTGCGTGCTCACACGCACTCCATAGCCATGGGCATGGGGGACCTGGCTACGTGAACTTGGTGTGGATGATGTCGGGGTTCTCATGCCAGTCGTCGATGCTCACCCACATCTAGGCCAGTCAGTATTTCGAAAGGGCAGAGAAGAGGAAGATCATGGAGACAATGTGCGACAAGGGGGAAACTTGAGAAGAGGAGGAAAAAAGAAGGGGAATTCTTTTTCTTTTACCTTGCGGAACGTGCTCAGCCCAGCTAGGATGCTCCCCCCAATCCACGTCGAGTACTTGCGCTCGGGCGGCGCAAAGATCTTTATCCTCATGTCCTTGACGGCCAGCCGTTGCAGCTCGGTCAGCAGACGATCGCCGAAGCCCTTGGTCAGCGTGCTGCCGCCGGACAGGACAATGTTGCTGTAGAGGGATTTCCTCAGGTCGAGGTCTGTGCGGTTGATGGCGTCGACGACGATCTGGTGGACGCCGGGGTACTCGAGGCCGATGATCTCGGGGTCGAACAGGATCTCCGGCGCGCGGAAGCGCTCGGCGCCAATCTGTGTCGATGGTCAGTACGTGGGAGGCACGAGAACGAGAAACGACAAGGGGCAAAGGGCAAAGGCGAGGGCACGTCGGGCGTGCTTGTTTGTTGCGCCGCCCGAGCAGAGGGAACGCACGCACCTTGAGCTTGTGGCCGTCGGGCAGGACGTACTCAGCCGTCTTGGGCTGGTCGCCGGAGCGCTGGATCCACTCCTTCTCCTCCTTGCGCGGGTCGTGGGCGACGTAGGTGACGGACTCCTTGATGAGGCGGACGACCTCCTTCTCGGCGCTCGTGTGGAAGACGTAGCCGCTCTTGCGCAGCAGGGTCTGCATGTACTCGGTGACGTCGCGGCCGGCGACGTCGATGCGGCGGATGCTGCTGGGCATGGCGAAGCCCTCGTAGACGGGAACGGCGTGGGAGACGCCGTCGCCCGAGTCGAGGACGATGCCGGTGGTGCGGCCCGAGGCGTAGAGCGAGAGGACGGCCTGGATGGAGGTGTGGAGGGCGGGCACGTTGAACGTCTCAAAGAGGATCTGGGCGGCAATGTCGCGGTTGCTGCGCGGGTTGAGGGGCGGCTCGGTCAGGAGGACGGGGGTGCTCCTCGCTCAGGGTCTTGAGGCCCTCGCCGTAGACGTACTCCCAGATCTTCTCCATGTCGTCCCAGTCGGTGACGATGCCGTGCTCGAGCGGGTAGCGGATCTTGAGCAGGCCGCGCAGCTCCGTGGCGGCCTTTTGGCCGATGAAGACCTCGCCCTCGAGCGCGCCGGCGAGGACGCGGAGGTGCTTGGGGCGGCCGACGAAGGAAGGAAAGTAGCACTTGGGCAGGTCGTCGCCCGCGAAACCGGCGCGGATCGCGCCCCCCACCATTGTCGAGGACGATGGGGGCGTTGTGGAGGGAGTC